TGGTTTAAAAAAAGGAAAACACTTTGCGTTGCATTTGGCTTGACTTGTAAACTAAGTTATCCGTGAACCTGTCTGCGAGTCATTCTTTCTGCCGCCTTCTCCTGAGGCCTCCACCTGCCCCTCACCCCCACGCCTGTGCTCATGTGCCTGCAGGCCCGCACCCCTCCTCCTGCCTGGCCTGCCCGCCATCCGTGCACATCATGTCGGGTTCAGTTTCGGAGCCTCCCCTGCTCCTGGTCTCTCTGTGTGGCCTGGTGGGTCCCCTGGGCACCTGTTGTTGGTCAGCATCCCCACCCAGAAGCCAGCCCAAGTGGCTCTCAGAAGCGGGCACACCAGCAGGGTCCCCATCCCCACAGGGCCAGGGTCCCTTCTTGAGTCCCAGTTTGAGCCCACAACTGGTCAGCCTTAGCCTCCGGGACCAGCCCTGAGGGAGAGCTCAGGGAAAGGCCTGGGCGTGGACATGGGGTCCTCTCCAGTAGCAGGAACTCCTGATGGTCACCCCGTCCTCGAGGCCACACCTGAATCCTTTGCCCTAGAAGCCTCTTCAGAATCTATTTTATCCTGCATGCTCCCTGCTGCTTGCCCGACAGCCCTCCAGTCCTGCATGAGGGTGGCCATGTGCAGGCGGGTGTCCTGTGTGCCCAGGGCCTGTACTCGGCCCCAGTTAGGGATCCTGGAAGCCAAAGTCTCCCTCCTCAATATTTTAAAATATATTTTTATTGATTTCAGAGAGGAAAGGAGAGACGGGGGGAGAGAAAATCATTGATCGGCTGCCTCCTGCATGCCCCACACTGGAAATCAAACCCACAACCTGGGCATGTGCTCTTACCGAGAATCAAGCCATCATAGGTCGATGCTCAACCACAGCCATGTCAGCCAGGCATCCCCTCAACTTTTAAGAATACAAAGTTGGCCCTAGCTGGTTTTGCTCAGTGGATAGAGCGTCGGCCTGCGGACTGAAGGGTCCCGGGTTCAATTCCAGTCAAGGGCACATGCCTGGGTTGTGGGCTCGATCCCTAGTAGGGGTTGTGTAGGAGGCAGCCGGTCAATGATTTTCTCTTATTGATGTTTCTGTCTCTCTCCCTTTCTGAAATCAATAAAAATATATTTTTTAAAAAATAATGATACAAAAAAGATGTATTAACATTTATTTTTTTAAAAAATACATTTTATTGCCGAACCGGTTTGGCTCAGTGGAAAGAGCGTCAGCCTGCGGACTGAAGGGTCCCAGATTCGATTCCGGTCATGGGCATGTACCTTGGGTGCGGGCACATCCCCACTGGGGGGCGTGCAGGAGGCAGCTGATCGATCGATCTCATTGATGTTTCTAATTCTCTATCCCTCTCCCTAAAAAATCAATAAAATATATTTAATATATATATATTTATTGATTTTTTACAGAGAGGAAGGGAGAGAGAGAGCTAGAAACATCGATGAGAGAGAAACATCGATCAGCTGCCTCCTGCACACTCCCCACTGGGGATGTGCCCGCAACCCAGGTACATGCCCCTGACCGGAATCAAACCCGGGACCTCTCAGTCCGCAGGCCGACGCTCCATCCACTGAGCCAAACCGGTTTCAGCAACATTTAGTTTTAAAAAAATACAAAGTCCTGAGCCCCAAACTGACCCAAAGGAAATAGGGAAAGGAGTGACAAGAAAAGGCACAGGACGTGGGATACCAGGAGTTGGGGAGGCTGGCATCTGTCCCTGGGGGCTGGAGCACAGTGAGTGAGGACAGGAGCAGGACGTGAGAGGGCCGGCCTGGGGGGACTTGGGTTTCATCTTGCCCTGAGTGCTGTGAGAAATCACTACATGCCGGGAGCTGGTCCATCCTTGCTGCTTGACACTTGCTGCAGGGAAGAAACATCTGCACAGCATCTGTTTCAAGGGACCTGGCATATATGGCATCCTGTTCTTAATATGTTTGGTCACCTTCTTGGCACTATGTGTTTTAACCAAGGTCACCTCTCTGAGAAAGGTTGTTTCCCCAGGTAGGGATTTTCCCCTGAAGTTAGGGAGGGAATAAAACCCCTTAACTAAGTGCCAGGCGGGTAATTAATCACTTTAACTACGAACAATCATGCTTAAGCTACATAATCTTTACTCCCTGGAATGGAGATAAGAAACGCCCTAACCTTTGGAATAGAGATTGATAGGATTGGAATCAACTGGTATAAATACAGATGTAACAAGACAACAGGACACAGTACCTAGAGACAGAACCTAGTGAGAGAACATGGCAAAAGATCCTGGACAGAACCTGGCTACAGAACTTGGTTGGAGAACCTAGACAGAACCTGGCTGGAGAACCTAGCGAGAGAACATGGCTACAGAACCTGGCTGGAGATCGTAGACGAACTTGGCTGGAGAACTGGCTACAGAACCTGGCTGGAGACCCTGACAAGAGAACCCGGCTATGATGATCACCTGAACGCTGCCTCTGTGTCATTCCTTCACCGACGACTCCGTCCACACCTTTGGGGACCCCTGGACCTGCTGGGGTTGGATCCCAACAACTACAGGGTTCTATTTACTTTTTAAAAACTTAATTGGTTGTAGAGAAAGAAACATTGATTTGTTCCACTTATTTATGCACTCATTGGTTGGTTCTTTTTGTTGTTAATCCTCACCCAAAAATATTTTTCCATTCATTTTTTTAATTTTTTTTTAAAATATATTTTATTGATCTTTTACAGAGAGGAAGGGAGAGGGATAGAGAGTTAGAAACATCAATGAGCTGCCTCCTGCACACTCCCTACTGGGGATGTGCCCACAACCAAGGTACATGCCCTTGACTGGAATCGAACCTGGGACCCTTGAGTCCACAGGCCGATGCTCTGTCCACTGAGCCAAACCGGTCAGGGCTCCATTCATTTTTAGAGAGAGTGTAAGGGAGGGAGAGAGAGAGAGAAACATCGATGTGAAAGACATCAGTTGGTTGCCAGGGCCCGGACACCATCAAGAAGTGAAAAGAGCTCACAGAAAATATTTACAAATCATATCTGATAAGAGACTTCTACTTAGAGCAGTGGTTCTCAATCTTCCTAATGCCACGACCCTTTAATACAGTTCCTCGCCGAAACCGGTTTGGCTCAGTGGATAGAGCGTCGGCCTGCGGACTGAAAGGTCCCAGGTTCGATTCCGGTCAAGGGCATGTACCAGGGTTGCGGGCACATCCCCAGTAGGAGATGTGCAGGAGGCAGCTGGTCGATGTTTCTCTCTCATCGATGTTTCTAACTCTCTATCTCTCTCCTTTCCTCTCTGTAAAAAATCAATAAAATATATTAAAAAAAAAAAAATACAGTTCCTCATGTTGTGGTGACCCCCAATTTTATTGTTACAAATTGAACATAAAGCATAGTGATTAATCACAAAAACAATATGTAATTATATATGTGTTTTCTGATGGTCTTAGGCGACCCCTGTGAAAGGGTCATTCAAACCCAAAGGGGTCACGACCCACAGGTTGAGAACTGCTGATCTAGAATATACTAGTATAAAGAATTTCTACAACTCAATAATAAAAACACAACTTGGTTAAAGCTTACATAGGGCCCTAGCCAATGTCACTCCAGTACATTTGATTTAAAAAATTATGATGAAGAAAAATTATGTATGACTAGTAAGCACATGAAAAGGTGTTCAACATAATCAACGAGGAAAATGCAAGTCAAAACCACAATGAGATACCACCTCACATTCACTGGCCCAACTAGAACAGAAAAGACAGGGTGTGGGGAAACGGCACTGCTGGTGGGACAGCAACATGGTGAAGCTTCTGTGGACACAGGATGGAGGCCCCTTAGAGGTTTAATACAGAGTTGCCTGCGTCCCAGCTGTTCCACTGTTAGGGATATGCCCAGAGGAATGAAAACATGTTCCCAGGAGCGTTATTCGTAACAGCCAAAAAGAGACAGCCCAAATGCCCATCTACTGATGGTCAAAAACGCGTGGCCTAGCCCTGCCCAGCTAGAGCATCTTTGCGATATGCCAAGGTTGGGGGGGGGGGGGGAGGGTCAATCCTCAGGGCACACACAAAAATTAACCAACAAATGCATAAATAAGTGGAATAACATATCTATCTCCCTTCCTCTCTTCCCTCCTTCCTTTCTCAAAGATCAACCAATCAAAAAAGTTTTTAAGAGCTTTCCCATCCCTCCTATCTTAAAAAATGTGGTCTACCCATAATAATGGAATATTACAGCCATAGAAGGAATGAAATACTGACACATGCTCAACATGGAGCGTTGCCTACAGACAGGAAGGTCCCAGGTTGGATTCCAGTCAGGGGCACATGCCCGGGTTAGGGCTCGATCCCCAGTTGGAGGCGTGCAGGAGGCAGCCAATCAACGATTCTCTCTCATCATTGATGTTTCTCTCTTTCCCTCTCCCTCTCTGAAATCAACAAAAACTTTTTTAAAAAGTTGAGGGTAGTCACGGCAATGTGGTCTTCCTAAACGAGGGGAGGAAAAGTGGAGGAAAGTTTAAAGGGTGATAATGGCACATGAAAGGTGCAGACTGATCAAATGCTTCTTCCGCCGGAACCCAAAACCGGCCCAAGGGGGCAGCTCCGGGAGGGGAGAGAGCAAGGGGCACTGTGACGTGTTTGGTCGCGTGGTTTGCCTTAAGCCAGGAGACCGCCCACCTCCGCAGGGCAGGGCGCCTCCGCCCACCCCACCTCCGCCGCCCCACCGGCCCCGCCCCTCCTCCTGGCGGCCGGGCGCGCCCTGCTCCCTCTGTCCGGGCCCGGACGCCCGACCGCGCCTCCTCCGCCCGGCAGGCCCCGCCCCTCCCACTGCCCTCGTCAGCCTGACAGACCCCGCCTCCCCGCCCTGGTCCCACCCACTCAACACTCCTCCCGCCCCCACGACCCGAAGGCCCCGCCCCTTCTCCCTCCTCCGCCCTGTCCCACCCGCGCCCCCGCCCCCGCCGTCCCGGCCCCGCCCCGCCCGGCAGAGCGCGCAGGAAACGCGGTGGCTCCGCGGACGCTGCGTTAGGAAAGGTGTGGACGGGGCGGGATAGCAGGCCGCCCGGGTCCGCCCGTCCGCCATCCCCGCGCCCGCCCTGCCCGCGGCCCCGCCCGAGCGCGGCTCGGGGCTCCGCTGCTCAGGCCTGGGGGCGGGGCCGCGGCGTCATGCATATGCATGAGGCGGCTCCATTGTGCCCTGGGAGCGGCGCGATGGCGCGGGCGGCGGAGCCGGGGCGGCGGGCGGCGCGCAGGGCGGGCTGAGCGCATGGAGCGGCGCGGACCGGGGGCCGCGGCGGCGAGGGGCCGGGCCCGGCCGCGCGGAGGTGAGCGGGCCGCGAACAGGTGCGGGCGGCGGGCGGCAGGTGCGGCAGGTGCGGGCGGCGGCGGCGGCGTCTCGGCGGGGCCCCGGCCGGAGCGGCCTGCGCTCGCGTCGTGGTCCCGGCGGCCGGTGCGCGGACCCTCACCGGGCCTTTGTGGCGGCGGCCGGAGGCTGGCCCCGGCCCGCGGGCGTGCGGAGGCTGTCGGCCCCGCCAACCTGGCCCGCGGCCGGCGCTCCCGACGGGCCTGGCGGGCTCCCCTGGGCCGCGCGCGCCCACCCGCTCGGGAGGCCGCAGGCGACGCTGACCTTCCTCGCAGCCGTCGATCCTTGGCTTCACCCCTTTCCTGACGCGACACCTGGAGGCTCGGGCGGAGGGTGTCCCTCCCCGGGGTGCCTGGTGCCCTCTGACCTGCCCCCTCCCCTGACCGCCTCCCCTCTGGCCTGCGGCCCCTCCGCTCCCCCTCCCACGCCTGACCTGCTGCCCCTCTGACCTCCCCCCACCTTCCTGCCCCCCCACCTGCTGCCCGCACACCGGGTGCCCCGCGCCCCCCTCCCTGTAGTTGCAGAACATCCAGGGGATGGGTGTCATTTGTCGGCTCAGAAGACTTCACAGGGACATACACCCCACACCCGCCTGGATACATAAGCAGGCGGCCCGGCAGGGTGAGCACCCCATCACCAAATCCTCCCGGCCAGCACCAGGGGGAAGAAGCTGGGAGCGGTGACAGGGTCCCAGAGGGAATCAGTCCCAGCCGCGGGGGGCTGGCCCTCGGACTGCCCCACCCCGGAATGGCCACGGGAGGGAACAGGCATGGGGAAGGTGCCTGGGGAGGACGCATCGCCGGCTTGAGCAGCCAGGCCTCCCGCGGGCTGTCCACCAACACCTGTGTCCAGACAAGCTGGGGCCGATGACATGAGGTGGGCACGTGTCCTTTCCTCTCCTCAGTCCTAGGCTGGCACCACGTACCCATTTTATGTATAAACTGAGACTCAAAGTGGGGACCCCCTTCCCCCGGTCTCTGGAATGTCCCGCACCCTGGCCATCCGTCAGTCCTTGTTCCTGGGCGTTCTGGACGCACCCTAGCAGTCCTGTGGCCTGGCAGGTCGAGAGGGCAGCAAGCCCCACCTTGGTGTCCTGCTCCACTGGGTCTCAGCCCGTTGGACCCCAGTGTCCCTCTGGGGGAGCCTGGAACTATAGCTCCCTGCCCTGTGGCCGAGGAGAGAGGCTTGCCGCTGGGGCCGGGCCTCCTGCTCCTGGGTGGCCAGGCAGAAGAAATGGAGTGGAGGATGGCAGGGGTTGACCAGCGTCACGTCCGCCTTCGGTTGGCGCGCAGAAGACGGGGGCAGCTGCTGTGAAGTTCTGGGGAGGAGGGTTGGGTACTGAGTTGTCTGTAGCTCTTTTTCTGGAGGGAGATGTGATGTGACCCCAGAAAGCCGTGTGGCCTTCGAGACCCATCTCAGGCCCGGGCGGCTCTGCCCAGGGGTCCTGGCTTCCAGCTGGAATTGACACACAGGCAGGCACGGGGCTGGCACTCAGGACTCCTTCCCAGCTGCTCCCTGCCGGGCTGGGAGTGGGGAGGAGGGTCTGCACTCACAGCGGAGGGCCGGGTACCGGGGTACGTGCGGAGGTTTCTGGAGGAGAGCAGACTCGCCCAGGAACTGGGCAGGCAGGAAGTCCCTGCCCCCGCGAAGTGCGCTCTGGGGGAACTGGAAATGTCTGTGGTCTGTCCCCAGCAGAGAAGCCTGGGGGGTGGAATTCCCCAGACCACGTGGTGTGGGGGCTGCCCTGCACCTGCCCTGGGCCTCGGCCCTCTGGCCGCCCCCACCCTTTTGCTTCTAGGATGCACAGTGGGCCCCGCAGGCCCCGCCGGCCCAGGTGTGGGAGGATTGCCACGGGCCTGGTGGTTTTTTACTGAGATCTTATTTTGTGAGAATTCTAGATTCCTATCTAGTTGTAAGAAACAAAGCCGGTGTATCCTTCACCTGGTGTCTCCAGCAGGATGCTGCCTGGATACAGGTGAGGCCGAGATTGCCTCCCGGCGGCCCTCCCCACGGTTCACCCCTCGCGGCCAACGTCTGTCCTCCATTTCTGTAACCCGTCGTGCAGTGTGTAACCTCCGGGGACTGGCTTTTTCCAGCAGCAGATCCCCGAGATCCCGCAGGCGGGCGCCTGGATCAGCACGGCCTCTTTAGGCCTCTGGCTGTGGGTGCTCAGCCCTCGGTAACCTCCAGCCCTGGAGGGCATCTGAGTTTCCCTTCTCTGGTGATGAGGAGTAAAGCTCCTGTACACATTCACGCACAGATTTTTACGTGAACATCCGTGTATGTTTCTCTGAGATAAGCCATCAGGAGTGAGCTGCTGGGTCAGAGGGAAGTGCAGGCCTCGCTGGGGGAGAGCCTGTGTCACCGGTTTCACTCTGGGCGTCGGGTAGGTGTGCGTGAGGTCGCACTGGTGCTGGTGTCACTCCGGTGTCCGCGTGCCATCGGCCCGTCCTCCTGGTGAAACGCCTCGAGCTTTGCCCTAACTGGACTTGTGACTGTTCCAGGCCCCAGTCTTGTCAGCGTGTGGCTTGCAGGTGTCTCCCAGCTCGTCGCTTGTTTTCCCTTTCCCTTTCCCGGTCCTGCTTCTGGAGTCGTTTGAGGACGCTTTCCTCGGCGCTCAGTCCCGAGACTCTCGATGTGTTTTCCTAAAGGCCTTCGGGGTGTGCTGTGCATTTAGATCTGTGACCGTTTCGGGTGGGTTTCTGCGAGAGGGTGGGGCTGAGGTCTTCTCCCCCGGAACCTGTGAAGTTCTGGCACCTGTGTCGGGAGTCTGTGGGGTGCCTTTGTGGGTCGGTTGGGGTTCTCTGGTCTCTCCCATTGCCTGTGCGTCTGACCCTGCCAGCACCGCAGCCTGAATTAGCTGCAGGCCCCACCCAGGTCTGGAGAGTTCCTGGCTGTTGGCAGGTGCCCCCCCACCCCCCCGTGTCACGAGCCAGTCAGGAACGTGACCTTCCTGTTTGGCCCAGTGACCCTGGCTCCCTGTCCTGCCTCTGCCCAAAGTCCAGGTGCCCCTGAGCTTTTGGGAGAATTGTCCTGTTCTTTTTCTGGCCTCGGCTTCCCAGGTGGGACCCAGGTGGGGCGAGGGTGCGAAGGTGAGGCAGGAGAGACCTGACTGCAAGGAGGGGCAGGCCCAGGGTGGCTGCCTCCCTGTCCCCCTGGGCGCGCTGTGGTGAGCGGGCCATGAGGGCCACTGCTCCGAAGCAGAGCCACCCCCTCACCTGCTCTGGGGTCCTGGCCTGGGACTCCCCCGGGCACCCCCCACGCACTGTTTGCAGAGGGCAGCCTGTTGGTCAGCTCTCAGGAATGTGAGCCCTGGGGCCAGGTGGACGCTGGGCCAGAGGGAGGCATCAGGAGCGCTGTGCGTGTCCCAGGTGGCCTGTCCGAGCCTGTGGCCTTGCAGCCCCGAAAATGCCCTGGGGCTTCAGTCACGACCCTTGACCCCAAGAGACCCTCTGACAACACAGCCCAAGTGCGTGCGTCTGTGGTCAGACCAGGCAGAGGTGGGCGTGGGCGGGGCCTGTCGGTGAAGGGCTGGCTTGTGGGTGTCAGACGCCGGCAGCCTGGAGGACGGGCCAGCCCTGAGACACTGAATGGGAGAGAGTGAGCCCGCATGGCACAGGGCACCCAGCCGTCTCTGCAGCCACTGCTGCCATGTCTGCTTTGGTCCCTTGCCATGTCCCTGGGCACCTGCCAGCCTCCCACCCGAGTGCGGTGTGTCCTGTTGGGAGCTCGGGTCTTTGTGCCTGGTCCCTGCACCCGCCGGTCCCCTTGGCCTCGGAGTGAGTTGCCTGCTGCTGCCCTGAGGAGAAGCAGGGCGGGGGGGGGGGGGGCAGTCCCTACAGGAGATGGCCCCACACTGTGCCCCAGGCCAGGCTGAGGGGGGCTGGCCCCGGCCTCCCCTGCCTCTGACCATTCAGGCCCCGACTGGGAAATATTTGGGTGGGAAACCTGCTTCCAGAGCCAGCCCAGGGATCCGGGTGGCAGGGCCTGGCCAGAAAGGGCTAATGACACTCTGGGCTGGGTTTGGGGGGTTGGCTTGCCCTGACCCCCCTGAGTGGCCCTGGTATTCCAGTCTGACCTGCCTTCCCTCCGTCATGCGCTGGGTGCTGGGGGGCTGCCTCCGCTTTGTTCTCAGACCCCAAGCCCTGCACCTTGAACCTTGTCCCCTGACCCCGACTGCTCCCAGGGTCTCCCAGCTGCCTCTCCACTGATGTGCTTCCCTCCATCCCAGCAGCCAGAGCAGCTGAGCCCCACGTCAGCACCAGGGAGGGCTGCTTTCTGCCACCCACAGGCCTGGCCTGGAGGCTGCTCCCAAGCCAATGAACCCCATGAACCCCATGAAACCGGCCCTGCCCTCCGCACCACACAGGTGAGTAGGGCCCAGGGATGTGGGTGGCCCAGCAACCCCTCTGCTCCCAGCCTTCAGTTCTTCCAGGTGGCGCCTGAGCACCTGAGGCCTCCAGACCCAGGCCCTGCCCCTGTCCTTGCAGTGATGGTCCCTTCGCTTATGAGGCGGTGCCTTGGCAGCAGAGCGCCACGCAGCCCGCAGGATCGCTGTCCGTGGTCACGACCGTGTGGGGAGTGGGCAACACGGCCCAGAGCCAGGTGAGCGCACCTCGGACCTCAGACTGGAGCCAGGCCTCCTGGGCTCCCTTCCTCGGAGGCTAGTTCTCCCTACACCTGCTGCGACTTTCTCCCCGTCTCCCCTGGCCTCCACCACCCCCGTGACCCCCACCACCGCACCTCACCTGCCAGGCCTCGCCTTAGAGCCACTCTGCGAAACAGTTGTGTGGATGGTTCCCTTTGGTGACTCTGGCTTTCTTGCAGGTTTTGGGGAGCCCCATGGGTCCTGCAGGGAGCCCCCCTGGCAGCTCCATGATGCCGGGCATGGCCGGTGGCAGCTCGGCGCTGAGCTCCCCACAGTGCCTGGGACAGCAGGCGTTCGCGGAGGGCGGTGCCAGCAAGGGCTACATGCAGCAGGGGGTGTACGGCCGCGGAGGCTACCCCGGAGGCCCCGGCTTCTCCACCGGGTGAGCAGGACCCTCAAGCAGTGTCTCGGGCCCCAGGAGGGGGATGTAGGTCTGTGTGGCCCAAGGGTGGGAGGGCCGTAGGTGGAAGGCCCTTCTGAACCATCGTGTCTCTTGCAGGTACGCTGGGGGCCCTGCGGGGGCTGGGGGCCTGGGCCTCCCCTCCCATGCCACACGGCCCTCCACCGACTTCACTCAAGCAGCAGCAGCTGCTGCCATGGCTGCCGCCGCCGCCACGGCCACGGCCACGGCCACAGCCACGGTGGCCGCCCTTCAGGAGAAGCAGAGCCAGGAGCTGAGCCAGTACGGAGCGGTGAGGCCGCCCCCCGGCCCCACGCTGCTCAGGGAGGTGGGACGGTGAGGAGCCGGCTCAGGGACTGCCTGTGCGGTGTGCACGCAGCGTAGGCAGCAGTGAGGCCGAAGCTCTGGGAGGGAGGTGGGTGGCGGGAGGAGACGCTGAGGGAGCGGACTGGGCACTCAAAGTGGTGGCCGGGCCTGGACGGTCCCTCTTCTCTTCCCAGATGGGGACTGGACAGTCTTTTAACAGCCAGTTCCTGCAGCACGGAGGCCCCCGGGGGCCCAGTGTTCCCAGCAGCATGAACCCCGCCAGCATGGGAGGGCTGATGGGCCCCTCTGGCATGAGCCCCATGGGCATGACCCCCACCCGGGCGGTGGGCATGGCACCCCTGTATGCAGGGCAGCGCCTGCCCCAGCACGGTTGTCCGGGGGCTCTCCAGGCCCAGCCGCTGCCCCGACAAGGAGTCAAGAGAGCCTACTCCAGTGAGGTGAGGCCGGACGTCCATGTGAGAGGCCTGGCTGTGGGCACTGCTGTCCCTCCCTGGGAACTGGCCTCCCTGACCCGCTCCTCCCTGGGCATTTGCCTCTTCTCCTTCAGGTGTATCCAGGGCAGCAGTACCTGCCGGGAGGCCAGTACTCACCCAGCACCACCCAGTATGCCCCAGGGCAGCCCCCTGCCCCCTCTTCCTTCCCTGGTCACAGGCTGCCCCTGCCCACCTCCGGCCCCCCAGGACTGCACTACAAGGTAGGCCAGGTCCTCCTGGGCCTGCAGCACCCCCTGCCAACCCTGGGGGGGGACACAGACATCTGGGTGGGCTGGGGAGGTGACCACGCAGCCAGGAGCTTCCTGGCCCTGAGAATGCAGGGCAGCCCTCAGGGGGCCCAGCTCTGCGGGGACCCCCGGCACAGCCTCGGTGGCACCCACGGAGACCCTCTGTGGGGTCAGCTGTCTGTAGTGGCAGTTTTTAAACAATGAAAGCAGTTCATGCTCCCTGTAGATGATTTGAAAACAAAGTGTGTGAAAAAGAACATGCAGGGCCTGTGTGTGCGGGGGGCTCCCTGCCCCCAGGCTCTCGGGTCTGGTTGGGGGCTGGCCAGGGGCCAGGCTGCAGCCCCAGACCCACATGGTGTCTCTCCTCAGCCCACAGAGCAGTTCAACGGGCAAGGTGCCAGCTTCAGCACAGGGAGCATCGGCTACGGCCAGCCGGGCCTGAGTGGGGTACGGACGGGTGGGAGGCTTCCAGGGTGGGCGCGAGGAGAGGGCGCGTAGGCACCCCTGGCTTCCCGGACTGTTCCCAGTGGGTGCTCAGGAACACGGCCGCGCCCTCATCCTGCCTTGACTGCTCTATCCCACAGCCCACCCGTTCCGTCCCTGGCTACCCCAGCTCCCCACTGCCAGGGAGCCCCACGCCACCCATGACCCCCGGCAGCAGCGTCCCCTACCTGTCCACCAGCCAGGACGTGAAGTCCCCCTTCCTGCCTGACCTCAAGCCCAGTGTGAGCTCCTTGCACCCGTCACCCCCTGGTGAGTGTCCCTGGTCCGGGGACAGGGAGGGGCAGGGCCCCTGCAGGTCCCCCCTCGTGGCTCAGCCCTGTGGCTGGTCCTAAAACCTCATTGGGGCACAAGGCTGGTGGGTGGCAGGCGGCCTGTCGGCACCCTCAGCCCCGCCCTCTGGCAGCACCGGAGTGTCTGGGCAGCGTGCTCTCGGCGTCACTGAGGGGATGATGTGCCGGCAGCTGAGGGAGGGCGGAGCCGGGACCACCGTCCTGCCACCGTCGGTGACATGCAGCTCGGGTCCCAGGAGACACCACCCAGGCCCCAGCCAGTGGAGGGGTGGGCTGCAGCCCCTCGCCTGTCCTCCTGTCCGTGCTGCGTGGGGTGGGGTGGGGGTGGGGGCGGGCGGCCCAGGGCCTCTGCGAGCTGCGGGGGAGGAGCCTGCTGACGCCCGCGGCCCCCAGGCAGCAGCCCCTGCGAGGAGCTGCGGCTGACCTTCCCCGTGCGGGACGGCGTGGTCCTGGAGCCCTTCCGCCTGCAGCACAACCTGGCTGTGAGCAACCACGCCTTCCAGCTGCGCGACTCCGTCTACAAGACCCTGATGCTGAGGTGAGCGGCGCCCGGCCCTGCGGCCCCTCTCAGCGCCTGCGCCCCCTCTCAGCGCCGTCCTCCCCGCAGGCCTGACCTGGAGCTGCAGTTCAAGTGCTACCACCACGAGGACCGGCAGATGAACACCAACTGGCCGGCCTCGGTGCAGGTCAGCGTCAACGCCACGCCGCTCACCATCGAGCGCGGCGACAACAAGACCTCCCACAAGCCCCTGCACCTGAAGCAGGTGTGCCAGCCCGGCCGCAACACCATCCAGATCACCGTCACCGCCTGCTGCTGCGTGAGTGCGGCGCCGCCCGGGGGCCAGTCCTGTCTGCCCTCTGACCCTCGAGGAAGAGGCCTGTTGAACCCACCCTTGTGGCTTCCAGTCAGGCCCCAGCACACAGTGGGCACTCACATCACGGTGCAGGAGAGACTGAGCTGGGGGCTCTCGGGCCCCAAGTGGTTGTGCTGAGAGGGGTTAGAACCGGGAGCCTGGCCCACACCCTCTGACACGCACCCCCTGACCCACACCTGCCTTGCAGTCCCACCTGTTCGTGCTGCAGCTGGTGCACCGCCCAGCCGTCCGCTCCGTGCTGCAGGGCCTCCTCAAGAAGCGGCTGCTGCCCGCCGAGCACTGCATCACCAAGAGTGAGTGGCCGCCCACCCTGCCCCCGCTTGACCCTGGCAGAGGCTGTGTCCCCGGGCGGGGCTCTGGGCAGGGGCCGGGGTCTGCTCCTCAGCCCTGGGAGGTGCCTTGTCCTGGCCGTAGCCCTGGCCCCAGCCCTCTCCCTGTCGCCGCCAGTAAAGCGGAACTTCAGCAGCGGCACCATCCCCGGCACCCCTGGGCCCAACGGAGAGGACGGGGTGGAGCAGACGGCCATCAAGGTGTCCCTCAAGTGCCCCATCACCTTCCGCCGGATCCAGCTCCCTGCCCGTGGCCACGACTGTCGCCACATTCAGGTGGGTCACCACAGTCTCTCTGGCAGCAGAGACTCGGCACCTGGGCCAGCAGGTGGCCTGGTTCCCCAGGCCCTCGGGCTGGGCTTCCTTAAGGACTAAGCGTAGTAACCTTCCTGCGCTCACGGAAGGGGGGGTGTGCAGGTGCAGTCCCTGCTAAGACCCAGGAGCCCCACAGGTTCTCCCCAGACACGGAGCGAGTGCCCTGCCCCAGCTGTAGGCAGCACCTCGGGCACAGTTGCAGCTCCAGCTTTGCCCCGTGGCGTCTGACCCAGTGGGGCCATGTGGCTGCCCCCAGCCTCGGCCCGTTAGAACACCAGGGTCGTGAAAACCTGGTGCACGGGCTTCCCCGACACACAGGAAATAGGCTGGGTGCTGCCCTGTGTGCGACGTCTTCTTCTCCCCAGTGCTTCGACCTGGAGTCCTACCTGCAGCTCAACTGTGAGCGGGGGACCTGGAGGTGCCCCGTGTGCAAGTAAGTCCCAGAACTCAGGGGACCTCATGCAGGGCCACCCCGATGGGGTGGCCTCCAGGGAAGGATGGAGCTGAGAAAGGACAGGCCTGGGCCCAGGGCGAGGTTGGTCAGGCCTCTGAGCTGCGCCCTGTTTGCTTTCTCCAGCAAGACGGCCCTGCTGGAGGGCCTGGAGGTGGACCAGTACATGCTGGGCATCCTCATCTACATTCAGAAGTGAGTTCCCTGCGGCCTCCGGCCTCTGGCCAGCAGAGGGCAGCCCCTGGGATGGGCGGGGGCGGGGGCTTGCTGATCCCCCACGGGAGCGCACTCCCGCACTCCCCTGGGGCCCGTTGGGGCCAAGGAATCGACCAGGCAGGCAGCCCCAGGGCACATGGAATGTGCACTTGAGTGGAAGGTCTGCCTAGAACCCGCCCTGGGCCAGGAGGGCAGCAGGCTGGGTGGTGACTGCCCATGTCCCGCCAGCTCTGACTACGAGGAGATCACCATCGACCCCACGTGCAGCTGGAAGCCGGTGCCGGTGAAGCCGGATGTGCACATCAAGGAGGAGCCGGACGGGCCGGTGCTGAAGCGCTGCCGCACCGTGAGCCCCGCCCACGCGCTGCTGCCCAATGTGATGGAGATGATCGCGGCCCTGGGCCCAGGGGCAGCCCCCCTCACCCCCCTGCCGCCCCCCTCAGCTCCGGCCCCCAGCGATTACCCCAGCCAGGGTGAGTGCGGCACTTGGCGGCCTGCAGACAGGTGACCCTGAGCAAATGGCCATGCTCTCAGCTACCGTGAGGTGCTGCTCTGTGGCCACGCTTGGGCAGGGCTGGTCGTGGATGTGGAATGTAGGTGTGGCCTCCACCAGGGGTCTCCAGTGGAAGCTGCACGCCCCCTCCCAGCAGTTGCAACAAGGGGCTGTCTGCCTGCACATCCGGGCCTGGCCCCACTGACACCCTGGCTCTCCTCTCAGGCTCCAGCTTCCTGGGACCCGGGACCTTCCCCGACTCCTTCCCGTCCACCACACCCAGCACGCCGACCCTTCCCGAGTTCACCCCAGGGCCGCCCCCCGCCTCCTACCAATCGGACATTCCCAGCAGCCTCCTGACTCCGGAGAAGTCCACATCCAGCCTCCCAGGCCAGGTCAGTGCGGGGCTGAGAGGCCGCGGCTGCCTCCTGGGGGAGCCCTGGCCATTTCTCCAGGTCTCTCTCCTTCCTCAGGTGGCACCTGCAGGTCACCTGGATCCGGCTCACACCCCTGGGCCAGCCGCACTGCACACCCCCAACCTTGGAGGCCCCCCAGGCCCCCAGCTGCACCACCCCAACCCTCCCCCAGCTACCCGGCAGCCCCTCGGCCCAGGGAGCGGGGGCCCCGTCGGCGAGCTGGCCTTCCACGCTGCCACAGGCGTAGTGGGGCCCCCCATGTCTGGGGCGGGGGAGGCCCCAGAACCGTCGGCCCTGGACGTGAGTACAGTGCTGCTCCTGGGGAGTGGGGAGCCTGGCTGAGAGCCAGTAAAAGAAACTCATTCAAGTTCAGCATGAAAAAAACTAGAGCAGCTCAAAGCAGAAAATCCGGGGGACTGGGGTCCCCTGGCCATCCGTGTGTCCCCTGAGCCTGGAGCAGCTCCACACCTGAGGGGTGCTGTGTGTCCCCTGTTGGCCTTGGTATCACCGATTCTTCCGCACAGACTGTGTCGGGGAGGGGTTCCCACATCCCGCCTACCGGACCGGGCTGGGTGCGGGGACAGGGCCGGTGCGCAGGGGGAGGCGGGTCTGAGGCCAGTTTGCTTGTCCTCAGCTGCTCCCGGAACTGACCAACCCGGACGAGCTGCTGTCCTACCTGGGCCCTCCCGACCTTCCCACCAACAGCAGCGAAGACCTGCTCTCTCTCTTCGAGAACAACTGACTCCCGCCCCGGCCCCTGCCACCAGCCCTCCTGCTCCCCCAGGCTCCCCTGAGGCTGCAAGCCTGCTCCCCACCTGGCGCCGCAGGAGGCTTCAGGGGCCAGCCCCGCCCCCGGCCACGCCACGCCCCTCCCGCTCTGCATACACGTCCCGCCGCCCCGCCCACCAGGGCCAACCAGCCGGGCCGCCCCCAGAACAGTGACCGGGGCCTGAAGCACGTGGCGAGGTGCCCGTGGGCGCTGGTCCGGGTCCGGCCCCCTCCTGCCCCGCGCGGACGGGTCCCACACGCACCTCCCGCAGGCGGCGGCCTCATCACCTTCCTCCCCGCCCCGACCCCCATGAACATGCAGCTCCGCCCTGGCCCCGGCAGTGCCGGGTGGGGCGCCCGCCCTCCCGCCCGCCTCTCATTAAAGGGTTCCCACTGGCTGAGGTCTCCTTGCGCTGAGCCCGCCCCGCCCCCGCCCCGCCCGGGGATCGCCTGTCCCTGGAATTTTCCAAGTTGGCTGAGGCCTGAGCTGCCCTGCGGTTGGGGGGATGTTTGTCTCGGGGCCTGGAGACGCCTCCGCCACCTTGTTCCCTCTCGTGGGCGCGGGCCAGGAGCCGCAGGGGGGCCTCTGGCCGCATGGGGAGCCCCCGCCCTTCCTGTCCAGGGGCGTCGGCCTCGCGCTGGCGGAGGAACCAGGTGCCTTCCTTTCTTGTTGACCTTTTGGGGCGCCAGGTGTGCTGCTGCTTGTCTGCCTGCGGGGTGAGCGTGCGCCCCAGGGGCCCCTGAGGTTCAGGCCAGGGGCCCCGCCCAGGGATGAGCAAGGCCCCCCGGGGACAGGCCCGCCCGCACAGTGCTTTCAGCAGCAGCCCGCACCGCGCTCGCGCACAAGCAGGCCTGGTCCCGGCCTGATGCCCAGGCCCGCTGCATTGCGCGTGCACCCGGGGATGTGGCGAGGCCAGGAGGCTGCAAGCTACTCAGGCCGCAGGCGGGGCAGACCTGAGCAGTGACTGCGGGGGCGCAGGGCAGTGCGACGGGCCACAGCCCTGACATCTTCGTGGGCTCCCCTCGAAGTGCAGGACAGAGGGGCAGGTGTGGGTACAGCAGGTGCCCTCTCAGCTCAACCCCATTTCATGGGGTTCCTACACCCGCTCCCCTTGGGGAAGGGATGGGGTCTCAGGAAGAGCAAAGTCTGATCACTAGTGGGTGGTGGCTCCCTGGTTTCACCTCAGTACGAGTCCTATATGTTCCTGTGTGTTACCAAATACTACACAATTGCACACCAGCCAGACTGGGAACACCACCCAGCAGCACATTCTCCCAGCAGACCGCGTGGGAGGCCACAAGACAAGTCCCAGTATGTCAGGTTGAAATCACAGAAAGTACCTTCTCTGGCCACAGTGGGATGGAGCTGGATGCCTCATGGGAGGGAAACTGAAGTTCACAAATGCGTGGAAATTAACTCTTAACAGCCAAAGGGTCAGAGAAGAAAGCACAGTCACAGACAGTGTATGAGGTGTGAGGGGATGCTAGAGGGAAATCGATGCTGCAAATGTCAATGGAAATGTGGGCGCAATACCCTTAACCTGCGAAGGACCTGGAGGGAGCAGGCTGATGCAGAGCCTGCAGAGGGCGGTGAACTAGAGACCAGGGAAACATGAACGGGAGCACCAGTGCCTCTGAGAAGCAACAGAAGGAGCAAACCTTTAGTTAGACCGAAGGCACAAATCACAAAAGTCAGAAATGAAACGGGTGGGGGGGTGCTCAGTACAGCCTTAGAGAAGCAAGGATGACAACACTAGCAGCAACAGTGTGCCAGTAAGTCATAACCTAGCTGAGCAAATTCCTAGAAATGCAAAAAACCCCAAAGTGACCCAAGATAGAGCGACTGGCCCGGTCAGTGCGGCTCCGTGGTTGAGCAGCAACCTATGAACCAGGAGGTCAGGGTTGGATTGCCAGTCAGGGCACATACCCAGATTTCGGGCTTGATCCCCAGTAGAGGGCGTGCAGGAGGCAGCCAGTTGATGATTCATCATTGATGTTTCTCTTCTCTCTGAAATCAGTAAAAATACATATTAAAAAGAAATAGCGCCCTGACCAGTTTGGCTCAGTGGATAGAGCGCCGGCCTGCAGACTCGAGGATCCCAGGTTCAATTCCCGTCAAGGGCATGTACCTTGGTTGCGGGCACATTCCCAGAAGGGGGCGTGCAGGAGGCAGCTGATTGATATTTCTGACTCTATCCCCCTCCCTTCCTCTCTGTAAAAAATCAATAAAATATATTTAAAAAAAAGAAAAGAAATAGCAACTGGACACTAGTGAATGAGGAGGTTGAGCTGATTAAACTGCCCCCTTTCTCCCCTGCTACACATACACACACAGAAAGCCTAGGACCAGACAGCTTAGGGGTGAATTCTACCAATATTTAAAGAATGACACCAGTGTTTCTTGTGCTTCCAAACAGGGGGGTGTAGGGGGACACATTCTGACACACACACCCCCCAAGCAGCCCCAGGCCCCACTCCCAGCTCCATCCCTGCCCCTGGCTCTCCACTGCAGCCCCCTTGGGTGGCAATGGGACAGGTCAGGATGGGCCGGTGACCCAGGTGAACCCAACGAGCGAAGTTCCAGGGGCCTTGAGGAGGACAGCAGTCTGACTGCACAGTGGAGGAGGGAGTGTAGACTGTCCTGGAAAGCGAGTCAAAAGTGGCAATGGGGCATGCTTCAGGAGCGGGGGGGCAGAGGAGCTGCAGGAAGAAGAGATGCTCAGAGAAGGGGAGGGAGAATCACCCCGGGGCCGGCCACTACAAGGGGCTTAGAAGGGGCAGGAGAGGACGGATGGGGAAAGGAGTGAGGGTGCAGGCAGGTCTCAGGATGATTATATTAGGTGTCCGGTATTCATTCATTTCTTGGGGTGTCAGCAGATGTCCATGGGGGGGCGTTGAAACTGCTCCATCCCTGGATGTTCTCCTGGGCTGACTGGCAAGAGGAGGGGTGCCTGCTGAGCTGGACGTGTAAGAATGATAATGAACCCAAGGGACACGCTCCAGGGCCAGGTCCTGTCATCGCCCGCCTGTGGGGCTGTTGACCTCAGTTATGCATCCGTTCAATTGGCTTTTAGCGTTTGGATGCTGCAGATGCTACGACGCTGGGAGAGCTGGTTGAGGAGAGAGGGTGGCGGTGCCCTGTGCAGGCCGAGGGTGAGTTCTGGAAACACAGGGTGGGGTGAGATTTGGGGTGGCAGGAGAAATGTCCGCCCGCAGACCAGAGCCAGCCAGCTGGGGCCAGACTGTGAAGGGGCTGCTCACGTCCTGTGCTGTGGGCCTGGCCCAGGAGGCCTTCAAGGGGGAGCTGCACAGTCAGATGGTTTTGAGAATGACCACTCAGGACACGCCTGCCAGAGCCAGGGGCCAGTGACCAGGGAAGCGGCTGCTGCCTGTGAGAGGCCAGCAAGCTCTGCCGCAGCCGGGACAGAGGAGAGGGGGGGACAGAGGAGAGGGGGGGACGGAGGGGAGGGGGGATGGAGGGGAGGGGGGACGGAGGGGAGGGGGGACGGAGGGGAGGGGGGAACAGAGGAGGGGGGGACGGAGGGGAGGGCGGAACAGAGGAGGGAGGACGGAGGGGAGGGGGGACGGAGGGGAGGGGGGAACAGAGGAGGGGGTGACGGAGGGGAGGGCGGAACAGAGGAGGGAGGACGGAGGGGAGGGGGGACGGAGGGGAGGGGGGAACAGAGGAGGGGGGGATGGAGGGGAGGGGGGACGGAGGGGAGGGGGGACGGAGGGACGGAGGGAGGGGGTGACGGAGGGGAGGGCGGAACAGAGGAGGGGGGATGGAGGGGAGGGGGGACGGAGGGGAGGGGGGACGGAGGGGAGGGGGTATGGAGGAGAGGTGGGGACGGAGGGGAGGTCCGAGGGGAGCCCTGCGAGGGAGCGGGGGCCCAAGTCCCCTGGAGACCTGAGCCATGGAATGGATGAGGGTCACCGTGGCAGGTGTGTAAGGAACAAGACACAACTCGGACACAGAGAAGCCGGTGAAACGGCTCAAGGGGGAAGGTGGGAGCTGGAGAAACGGCGGAGACACTCGGGCCGGCTCGGCAGCCGTGGGAGCAGGAGGTGAGGTGCGTGATGGGGGGAAGCGCGGGAGGAGGCCCGGGTCTGCGGACGGTGGTGCCGCGGGCCGTCATCCGGGCGGCGTCCGGGTTGTGAGCAGGAACAGGGCGGCAGGAGGACCAGGCTGGGCCCGAGGAGCCGGCGCGGCGCCCCTTCCGGAGGGTGTTTGTGTGGCTCATCGACGGCTTCTCCCGGGACATCCTCTCGCGCAGGGAGTTTCTGAGCAGCGTTTGTGAGTCGCGGCCACATCCACACAGCGAGGGAGGGAGCTCTGCTGGCCGGACGGACCCTGCGAGCCAGGCCCGGGCGCCGGGAGTTCGCTTTTGGGCCTGAAGGGTCCAAATCAGGCACAGGCGCCCCACACCCCGGGGTCCCCACATCCCGGGGGTCCCGGGCCTGCTGACGTCTGATCCGTGAGGAAGTCCAGGTCCACGGGTCATGCCGATCGAGGATCCGCGACATCTGCCCCTTAAACAAAACGCGGCCCGTCCGGGTGTCCGTGCTGTGGCCGGTGCCCCTGGTGACAGGAGGAGGCAGGACCCTGGGAGCCGGGGGAGGGAGCCCGCAGCTGGTATTAGACAGTCTGCATTCACTCACTCACTCACTCACTCACTCATTTATTCACTCATTCATTTAATCACTCATTCATTTATTCACTCACTCATTCGTTTATTCACTCATTCATTCATTTATTCACTCACTCATTCATTTATTCACTCACTCATTCGTTTATTCACTCACTCATTCATTTATTCACTCATTCGTTTATTCACTCACTCATTCATTTATTCACTCACTCATTCATTTATTCACTCACTCATTCGTTTATTCACTCACTCATTCATTTATTCACTCACTCATTCGTTTATTCACTCACTCATTCATTTATTCACTCACTCATTCGTTTATTCACTCACTCATTCATTTATTCACTCACTCATTCTTTTATTCACTCACTCATTCATTTATTCACTCACTCATTCGTTTATTCACTCACTCATTCATTCATTCACTCACTCATTCATTTATTCACTCACTCATTCATTTATTCACTCACTCATTCGTTTATTCACTCATTCACTCACTCATTCGTTTATTCACTCATTCACTCACTCATTCATTTATTCACTCACTCATTCGTTTATTCACTCATTCACTCACTCATTCATTTATTCACTCACTCATTCGTTTATTCACTCATTCAATCACTCATTCATTTATTCACTCACTCATTCACTCATTAACTCATTCCTTCACTCACTCACTCACTCCTTCATTCCTCGGGGTGTGCAGAGGGGAGGGAGGCGGGCGGAGTGTGTGCCCAGCACCTGGCGCC